TACTACTACTACCACTACTACTGCTGCTGCTACTACAACTACTACTACTACTACTACTACTACTCCTGCTACTACCACCGATGACGGTCACGATTACTATGACCAACACAAGTGTTATTACTATCACTCTTAAAATTTGCCGTTAATATTTCTAACACTACTAGTTTGTTCCTATTGTCATTGCTTCTGTTGCTATCATTGCTGGTACTAGTACCAGTACAGCGTTTTTGTCCAGTGTTTCGTTGTTGTTCGTGTTGTTTTGCAGTATTCTCACTCATCCCTGCACCTCAGTTTAGCCACGACACACGAAACAGTTCCACGGAAACCTTCCCAGAGTCCTTGTCCACGTCGGAAAGGTTCCAGATGGCATGCAGGACCTTTGACGGAAGCTTGCTCTCCTCCAACTTCACCTTCGCCTGAGCCATCGGAGAAACGATTTGAGTTTGCTCTTCGTTTGCAAATGTTTGCATGGAACCGTCCTGCGAGCCCGAGATTTTCCCGGCAGCATTGGGACCTTTGCGCAACAAGAAGTCTATGGCCCCGAGGCTGCACCGAGGCTGCGCAAGCCAAGAATGCTGCCAATGGCCTCGAAGTCTGGCGCATAGTCCTCAACCTGGAGGTCGTCAGCAAGTCACGACGGCTTCAAGCTGATGCAGACACCAAGCAAGATGCAAGGATTTCTCTGCGTAAGGTCACATCAGGCGTCGCTGTGAATTGCGAGACTTATGCAGACAAGATCTTTTGCTCCCCCTGCACATGCGACCGACACTAAGCATGAGACAGTCGGAAATACGAGCCACCTCAGCAAGAGCTATCGGGTGTGGAGACATGACAACCAAACGGCTGCAGAAGGTGCCCGGCTGATTTTGGTAGACACTCTGCTCGCTTTGCCCATCCACCTGATGATTGCGTTTGCGGCGCTCCACCGACACCGCATCGTCACTGGAGTGACTGTCTTGTGCGCAAGCTGGCGCAGTGACGTACAGCAGCTTGGTATGAGAGATAAAGCTGCAAGGGATTGAGAAACACCAGAATCACCACACCTTCATCACAGCGAAAGGTGAAGCGCCAACCGATAGCTGCGCCTCAGCGAAGGCAAAACGACAGCTTGTCCCAAGCTTTTCCTCATTCTGATGGAGGCCAGGCACCACCTCCGCAGCCTGAGCTGCAGCGGCCTGCAGGGAATTCCCAAGCTGGCCCCGGCCCTTTCTCGAACTTGCCATCACTTCTTGGGATTCGCTTGCCCAAAAACTTCCAAGCCCCCCGTTTATACCGGGTCTCCACTCGGTTGAGGTGTCACTCCGCGGACGATCCTCCAGTTCTGGTGTTCGCGATGCGCTGCTGAAGCCTTTCTTTCCCCTTTCCCTCCACCACGCTAAAAATTTTGGAGCTTTCCGTCTCACCATGTTGGCCTGTGTGGCTGGAGCTGTTCGGGAATTGAAGCGTTCTTGGGTTGGCCGTGGAACGTCGAGCCCTGTGGAGAGCTCCAAGTACAGAACGATCCTTTCCTCCACAGACAACATGGGGTACCGCCGAACAGCCGGAAAAGCCTCCTCTGATGTCATCTTGAGGAGCTGGGGCAGCTCCTGGTGGATCATGGCCTGCAGCCCACAAAGCCAAGAGCCACTGCGCTGTTCAAGAGGTCATGGACACAGGCCTCTAAGTTGTCCATTTTCTTCTTGTCAAGCTTTGGAAACTTGGTAAAATCCATCTTCTCCAGCTTCTCCTCTGCGCAAGCACCATCGCGCACGAGACCCGCGCGAGCACAAGCCCACGTGCCCGCATCAAGGTTGGGTCGGGAAAGTCGCCCATTGCCAAGCCGCGCTCCTGGGTCAAATCGGAATAGATGGCTCTGGCATGCCCACAACTGTGGGGGGGGGGGGGGGGGCAGTAAGACCAACTTTCGCCCGGCCTTCGCGATTTCCCCATAAACGTTGGTGAGGTTGTCTATGAGCTTCTTCTGCTCCTGTCAAACGAACAGCCCAACGGCAAGTGGTCACACCTTTACTGCTTAGATGTATCTGAGTTTCCTTCTGTCGACTTGTCCCCAGACACGCACCCCGGGAAGGGATTGAAGGGTCCTTGCTCTTGCCCATGAAGGATGGCATTTTGTTCCTGCGAGAACCACACTTAAAGATATCAATACAGGTTCTCTGAACGGCCGGATCGTGCTTGGTCCTCAGGTGGTTCAGCAAGAAAGCCAACACCTGGCAACAGCACTGCACCCTGGCGGAGCAGCTTCACCAGGTTCTAAGGCAGCGGCCCGCGCCAATCTCGCCCGCTTGATCAAATCATTCAGCTTTCTCGTTGCTGCCCCGCGCGGCATCTGTGATAAGGCAGTGTAAAGGTCATTCCTTGGCGAAAGCATATGAAAGACCGAATGCCGCCGTGTGTCGCTCGCTGTTCTGGAGCTCCGGAAACGAAAACAAGAATCAGATCGTAAGTAGTCGACTCTTCGGACTCGAAAAGATTTCTCATCTCTACGTTTCGCAGCGCTCCATCCTCAGAATGGTGACAGCCGGCAAGCCTGATCTTGCTTTAGGGTGGCAGAGCACAAGCCGAACGGGAGCTGGACCCAGTAGGACCCAATGTAAACACGGGAAACTTCTGGGGTGTCCTGATGATCGGATGCACTGCAGAGGCGAGCTGAACGCTGTTCTGCTTGCACGAGCTCAGGTAGCAGCAATCACCTTTCCCAAGGACCACATGAGCGCCTCAGCAATTCAAGACCCGAAAACCCTTTCAAGAGACTGCATACAGGAGAAAGCAGCGAAGCTTCTCAAAAGAACGACAACGACGTCTCGTCGCGAGGTCGGGTCCCGATCGGCTCGAGAGCCTGGCCCCGTAGACGCGCATCAGCTGCGGCGTCGTTACCTGATCGGCCTCTCGCTGGAACTCGAAACACCAACGGACAGGGAAGCAGTAGGGAACACTGTAGGGAACCAGGTGCCTTGTTCAGAATGATGTGTATCTTTTGATCGTTCCTGTCAGGAAGTGTGGTAGATGCTTCCTCTTCTAGCCTGCACGAACTGCTTGCACGTTTGTGTGCTTCCCCGGGGGCGACTGCCTCGCCTGCTGAGACCAAGAGCTCTAAGGGAGAGAAAGCCCAGGCATCCCAGGCCCATGCTTTGCGTTGCCGAGGCTCCCTTTCAGAGCAAGCAGCACACGACGGAACTCATCTGAGATGTCCAGCTTAGACCTCATGTGTAGGTTTTGCCTAAATCGCCTGTGCCTTAAAGGCTGTCAAAGGTAACTCTACCTTCTTGCAAAGCCAGGGCACACATCAAAGAGGACCAAGATCATATCAACCCGGTCGGCAAACCACTTGATCACCTCCTTCGAAGACGCTGGCATCATTGGTCACCGTCTGCAATAATTTCCCCCTACACCGAGCAGCAAGCTTTTGCAACCTGAGGAGCATTTCCCCGCGGCAAGCGCAAAGGTGGTCCTCTAACTAGTTTGCTGGTAAGCAACATACACATCTTAAAAGTGTGTAACACTAAAATACGCAAAGACCGGTGAAACGGAGCATCAAACTCGGCACTTCCTAGATCGCAAGGCTGGAAAGATGCCAACTGGTCAACTCCAGCTCAAGAGTTTGAAGGATGCTGCCTCCGTCGCTCTTCGACTTTTGCCAGTTGCAGTGCGGAAAAAATGTGCATGAGTTTTCATGCACAAAATCACCTGCAACTTCCAGATCTATCTAGTCAGCACTTCTTCCAAGCACGGTTGGATACGGCTGAAGCGCTCGCTGCGACTCCCTAAACATTGGATTGCCGAATGAAGTACCGAACACCTGCCACTATCATACAGTGAAACTCCGGCAGATGAAGATAATTTTGCCGTGCACCACGCATCACGTCCAACATACGTGTTTATGCAGAGCACGACGTCCATCCCTCTGCAGATTTTCCGCACACCTCGGATTGCCGTACCAAGAATACTACCATGTGAGAGTGCGACATGGGAGAGAGATTTAGATACTGTTTGCCCTGGGGGCAGCAAATCTTTCTGGAACCTCCAGCAAAACAGATGAAGCACTGTAGCCGCTTCCGTGTGGATCTTCTACTGCAATTAAGTCGCTATTCCGCCAATACCATTGAAGATTGTCTGCTGGTGCAGCGGCTGTTGGTCTGGCTGCCTGCTGCAACAACCTCATCCGGAGCATCTCGGATGGCAGAACTGCTTGCGAAGGTTCTGTCTCAGAGTCATATGTCTAGCTGGAATTGTTGATGCGATCGTCCAAACAAGATCCGAGCAGCTGTCCCCCGGAATCGAGTCTCGAACTCATGTAAGGACACCTGAGTGGATCATGCCACCCCAAACCTACCTACTTCGTGTCGAACCGACGCGACTCAGTTTCAGGTGTCGCCAGGGCGAGTGCCATTCCATCTCTGTTGGCATCCAGCTCAGTGAAGACTTCCTCCAGGTTTACGTTGAAGGCTCGCCCCAATGCCATGCCCACAAGAAAATCGAAGAAGGGTGCCTCCAAGCAGGTGTCTGGGAAAGTCCATTGGAGTGCGACTCGAACCTCCAGGAGCTGAAAGCATCCTGCATTCCACAGGCAAGTCTTCCCTGATGCTCAGGCTGTGGCGGTGCTGTCGATGCAGGCTGTGCGAAGCTCATGTGCCGTCACTGCTCCATCATGATTTCGATCAAGCCTGGCTGAGCAGGAGGTTCTGCTCTACCCACTCATGTCCCTCGAAATTTTTTAGCATCACCATGACAGGCATGTATCAAACGCAAAGCCGGACAGTCAGACCGAAAACCCTAAACCCTGCTGGAAACTCAAACCCCTCCTCGCCCCCTGTGGGACCTGAATCTACCAGATCTCTGAGGGCTCGTGTCCAACATAATACGGGAAGGTCCGCAACAAACCAAATGGCCAAGGTGCCCGGACAAAGAACTTCAAACTGCTTCTGCGGTCTTTCCGATTACACTTTGACAGGCGTCGTCTGCGAGTGTCTGCATGCATCGGCGCTTGCATGATTTTTTTATGCGCCCGGGGCCAGGAGGCAGAAGTGTGTGTGTACCACCCTGAAGCCAAGGGACCAAGAGACATAGAAAAATGCAGGGGGCACCCGGAGCTCCAACAAGCGTGCTGCTAACAAACACACTTGTTGGATGCCTGTGATATGAGAAGCTGATCACTCCCAAGGGGCTGAGCCAAGAACCCCAATTCCGAGTGATCCGAATAACCTGATATGATCGAAAAAGAGACAAATATAGATAATAAAGAATTAAGAATCTACCGATATATGATTTCGAGGGTCAATCCAAGTGCGTTTGATTTTTGTGCATGCGCGTGCGTGTGCGGGTGTTGTGTGTGGTGTGCGTGTCCAATCAAACAAACAACCGTGAGTGATCGAAGCCTGACAGATTACAGACTAGGGCCGGAGAAGAGGTGCATGACATATACCGTGCTCTTGGGGTATTGAAATTGAACGAAGATCTCCGATCGGTGCGCTCGGCAACTATCACCGAGTGGAAAACACGCAGATATCGCGATGTCTCGATAGGTTACAGGTGCAGTTATCGGTGTGCCCTACACGGGCATGCGCACATGCATTGCGATGTATGCGTGAATGGATCATTCCATGTGGTGCGTGCACTCCTGCGCTCCCCAGTGCAGGCACAGGTTGGCGCGGAAATCCAGAAAAATCAGCGAAAACGGGTGCCAAGCTACGGCACCCAGTGCTCTTGATACCACTTACAAGTGTGAGGAAACTCTGCATGTATGGATCTGCAGCGCAGGCAGTTGCGACAATGTCGTCAGCAGTGGAGGGGCTGATTTTTCTCTGAAGAGTCACGGACCATGTTTGGGTATTGCCATGTCGCATGTACGGCCTCCATGGAAAAAACAACTCCTGGGTTGACGAGATGCGTGCTCAGAAAGAATCACCCATGGGTTGCAGCTGCCCCTTACAGCCACATCGTAACCTAAATCCTTCCAACAGTGGCATTGTAACTTGAAGCTGGCAGATCCTGAAAAAACCGAAATCCACAAGATCTCCCCGCACCAACTCAGCTTGCGTGCACCAGAAAGGTGACGGCCTGCGAAAGATACGCTCGACCACATCGCCTTCAGCACCTTGTCCAAGAGCTTCACTAGGTCTCAACCCCAAGTCATGAAACATGGCCCAGCAGCCAACTCAAGACTGCTCAGGCGTGAGCCAGAAAATCCGGCCCCAAATTCTTCACCGAAGGAAGTAATATCTTCCCTGAGTGGACAAAATCTAGCCACTCCACACTCTTGCGGCGGTCCGGCCTAGTTGTTTTGTTGGACGGCAGGATGGAGTGACCTCATCTTAAACTCATCTTACACTGGAGCCGGACAGCTGCAAGAAGCTAGCATGGCAAAACGGGCCCTAGGCTCCCAAATATTCGGATGACCTCATCCGGAGACTCCTCCTGAAAACAGGTCACGCTTGCAAAGCAAGCAAGCAATGAATCCTCAAGAAAGAGCATTTCCCTGCTTCGAGCCGGCGCCTGATAGGTGTTGGTGAAACCATCCACTTTGCACAGGAGATATCTGGCATCATATCCTTAGCAACAGACGGACGCATCTCCCAAACCCGCTATGCCTTCCAAAGTGTCTGGTGCGACACAGCATGATAGGCGATCCGCATTCTCAGTTCGTTCCAGATATTGCCAGACGAAACAGAGAAGACTGACAAAGAGGGAAATTGAGGCGACACGAGAATGCTGACAACTTTCAATTTGACCAGAACCGGAGTCTTCCAGCTGCTCTAGAGAGCAAGAACTTTCCCGTGGTCCCAACAGCACCTGTGCTACCTGGAAACCTCACGAAGGAAGATGTTTTCGTAAGCGAGTGCCACCATCCCATCCGACAAGAGTTGGAAAACCAGCATGTCAGTTGCATACTGTGGCCCGGGCCTTCCAAAGCTGCCAAGCACGCCTTGACAAAGAAGCGCTTGTCTTCGGGTACCTTCGTCTGTCGTGTACTGTGTAAGGTAGTTACATAGAACAAGAAAAGATACAGGAGCGATTTCATATCATGTCATAACCTACTCACAAAATATGTAACAACATAACATCATTTCAAAGTGGAAACTAGTTGCAGAAACATAGCATACGTGGTGTATGAATGAACTATATAAGATGGCAACACTAGCGCTAGATTATCAAACTATGCATAGGACAGTGAAATTCAGCATAAGATGACATAAGATAGTATAAGATAACACAAGATGATATAAGAGCAAAGGATGAAAGCCAACAAGAGAGAGATTTAACGTTCGTTTTCACATGATCTCATATAGTGCAGGAAAGCAAAGTATAATATTGTAAAGATTATGATAGAGTGTAAACAGATCAAATAAATAAATTCAGCGACATGTACAAAAATACAAACTGTATAAGAGAATGCCAAATATGTAAGATACTGTACGGTAGTGAGCATTGCATGTTTGGTTTAACATCGAATAAGTCCAAACGGTATGATATGATGTGACACAATATGTTATCGTATGATATGGCTGATATGTCAGTATATGATGTCACATAGCATGGTAGATGAACAACGTCATATAACATATACGTAGTATGCCAAAGTCTAATGTAGTATGGAAAAAAGCGACATGAGAGTATAATGTAATATACTCCGATGGGATATAAGATACCATATAGCATACTGAGATGCGACATAACAAATTATTGTCTGCTTCATTGAAAAAGTGACATAATATGATCTCATTCGTTATAAGGAATCATAACCTTATCTATTCCCAAAGAAGTATGAAAAGGAACTTTGACAGAATGTGACAGAACAGGAAGGAAAAACGTGTACGAAGATAGCATAATTTAAATTAATCTAAACAAGTGAGATCCGTCAGAATGTAGATGTTTTCATATGCTATAATACGTTGCAATATGCTCGAATCTCTTATGGTGTTGTAACATGCTGTGACATGTTGTAATATGGTGTGATGTTTTAAAATATGCTGTACAACTTTGCAACATGCTGTATTATGTCTTATTGTGTTGTGCTATGTTGCAACATGTTGCGTGATAACATGATGCAATATCCTATGCAACCGTATAATACGCTATGTGACCATATGCAACGTGATACCATGCTATGATATGATACGACATGATGTTTGCGAACGCCTTGTAACGAAATGTAACGAACCGTAATGTGTTACTACATGTCTTGTCATGATCCGATATGCTTTCATATGCTATAATATGCTACAGCATGTTAACATACGGTGTACCACGTTACAATCTCTGGTGTGCCACAGTATGTTATGTATGTTGTGATATGCTATGATACGACATAACATGCTAAGACATAATACAAAAGACTGAAGCATGCTGTGATATGGCACAAGCTGCTACGATAAAAGAAAGTAAGGTAACGGAAACTAATCTTTGATTGTGAATTCACTATAATGTGAGACACTTTACTATGCTACAGCATGATACGACATAATAGCGCATGGTTTGGTATGATAGTCGAAGATGGCTGGACAAGATTGCATTCTATAGGATGCGGTCTGATATGACATACTGCGATATGGCCTGCCATGCATGGTATGATATGACACGATATGGCATGGCATGGCATGGCATGATATGACATGACATGGCGTGCCACAAACACGACAGGGAATGCAATGATATTATGCTATGGCTTTTCTAGATGGGCGAGCTTCGGCGAAACTTAGACAAAAATCTCGTCCGGTCTGGAATGCAACTTGCTTCGAGGATCTTCGAGGCCTAACGTTTGCTTACTTGCAATTAGAAACTGCCACATCTAAAGAAAAGCTGAACTTGACTCAACCACACTGCCTCGGCACAAGCTTTGAGCGCTGTTAGTTGTGACTGCAGAAGCTAAACTCAATGCAATGAGAACAAAACAAATCTGCGTATGACGCCCACATAGGTTAAGCACTACATGGATCGGCCTCCTCGCTTCGCGGCTGCACAATCCCTATGTGAGGATCTCCACCTTCGAACCAAGATCGGTAAGGCAACTGGCATGGATCCTAGCAGCCTGGCCTAGCAGTCCTGGCACAATCGAGACAGCTTATTACCGATCACCCAGGGCAGGCACCACCATCGCAGCCGCCAGGTGCTGCGTAGTGTACAACCTGCCAGAAGGGGCACTTGCCGCCACATTGCGACTGCTTCAAAGCGCCGCAGCCTCGCTGTACTGGGACAACAGACATTCTACCAAACTGTTGTCACATGATGTAGCATGGAACAGGAAAACGATTGCTTGCTCGCGCGTCTGCGTGCTTTTGCCGGTGGCCTGCCGATGGCAGCCTCACGGAGTATTCGCTGGCTCTCTCCCTTCTTATCGACCGCGAGTTGCGATTGACTCATGATGCAGGAAAGTCGCTAAGTCCGTCCACATAGCCAGTGCGCCCCCGCACGAAGCACTTATCACCTTCCAAGGCCTTGTGACACAACATGTTGATTCTGCACCACATATTCATGGATGGGCTCGTGGCGATCTCGCAGACTGCATCGCCACCTGATGGGGGCCAATAAGATGCTCGCCGTCGCTTTGGTTGCCATCATTACACTTTAACGACTCTAACATTGGATCAGCAAGGACTCGTGGCTGTCATCAAGATGCGCGCAGCTGGCTTCTCTGGGAGAATGCTGAGGCCTCCGCGATTGTCTCCGGCATATGCAAGATCAGATTTCATGCAACCTGCTATACAGGTGCAAACCGGGGTCTCCATCTGCTGTGCACTGAGATTCTGACTGTAGCTCGTGTCACCCATAATGACGGACAATCCTCGTGGATTCCAAGATCGTGCAACTGCCACTGAAAGTTCCCAAGACGAGCTCCTTCATGAGGTATAACAGTTGGACAGTTGCCATGCGGCGTGTGGCCAACTACGACGCCTCAGTGCTGGCAAAGTGTTCCAAGCTGATCCCGAATGACTGGAGTGGCGGAGAATGAAGGATGCGACGACAGATGCCATGGTCTTGAAGATGCTTCACAAGGTCCGGCCTCGTCATGCTGCGAAGTTCACAAAGGCAATGCTACCTTCTGCACACGACTGGGAACACCACGGATACTGCCTGGCAGTGTATTTTTCAAAACGCAGGGCTTAGAGCTGCAAAGTTGCCTTCGGTCCCTTTGGCTTGCGTGGTTTACATGATGTCCCCCCCCCCCCCCGCACGGCAAAGATGCCACCTTTTAGCGCCCAGACAGGACCCTGATATGTTCACCCGCACATGCATCATGTTTCGAGCGGCCGCTTGCATCAGAACTGCCTCTGCCCCTACAAGGCAACACACTCTCTGGTTCCCAACCTGGCAGCGGCGGAGAGTGACAAAAAGATCCGCTGTCGACCAGAGTGGCGTTTGACTTTGCCACCTTTGCCGAAGAGCCAGCCCCAACCAAAGCCATCAAAACCGCTTCAACATCTGTCTCGTCGTCGTGCTCGAGGGGCCATCGGGCTGAAGAGAGCAGATCTACAACCAGCTGCCAGCTGATTTAATAAATAATGGCATGCAAGTGTTCGGGGATGCTCGTGGTAAGCGGATGCTGCTCGTCGGCAGTGACCTCGCTTTAACCCCAATGGCCGGTCAAGCCTCGACCTGGATTTTCCCTCAGTGGCAATTCGAACGACTGGTGAAACCAACAGGTCTCTTCAGCTGTCTGCTTGCTGCACGGATCGTGGCAGCTTCACTTTCCGCCTGAGCTGAGCTTCTCCCAATCCCTCTTGGAATACTCCCTGCTGCACGAGGCAAGGGACAGGAGCTGCCACAGTTGCTCGTCATCGAAGCTCTGCACCACTTCGGCACAACCCGCAGCACGCAGCTTCTCCGGATCCTCACATCTGCCACCACATGGAGGTTCCGATGGAAAGCTCGCGGCAGTCCTGGCTCGACAAGATTCCCACGGTGTAGACCCCAGCTGCCACGGCCGATCTGGCTCCGGAGGGCGAGTCCTCCGAAAAAGACAAAGCAGAGTCTGCGTCGGTCTGCCCCGGGTCCCCGGTCTCAGCTCGCCTCGAAAGCTATGCAGCGCTCAGGTCGGACACCCAAGCGCTTCATGGCAGTCTCGTAAGGGCACGGGTCTGGTTTCCTTGGAGAGCAGGGTAAACACGGGCCATGTCCCATTTTACACGGCCACATGCATCTCCATGCCACACCATTTCTGGAAGATCGAGTTTCCCGCGCTCACACTCGTCGCCAATCACCAGCTCTGGAAACCACGATCTGTAGCCGATGCAGTCCACGATGAACTCAGCATTGACACGCGGTGCATTTGTGACCTTGGCTGAAATTGCCAAAGCCGTGAGCTCAAAATTAGTGCCGGCGAAGACCAAAAACAGACGTAAAGATAGGAGAAACATGCTATAACAAAAGGTTTGTTATGGTGTCCTGCCAATGGCTCAACTCCTCAAATTGTCGGACTTTAAAAACATTAAAAAATGCGTCGAAATAAACTATTTGTCTCTCAGACCGCTGTCGGCCCATTACTGCACGTTCAAGTCGCTTCAAAATTTGAGCCACCTCCGTCCCAAAACCGGTTTAGCCACTTGGAAGCCAAATTAGAGCAATTTCGGCGCGACTCGGGCACTCGATCAAGGCAGGCACGGCTTCCAGACAAGTCCGAAGCTAGGGCATCTCACTACTACATTTTCGAGTTTAGGGACGGCGTTGAGCTCCAGACTTGTTGAAACCAGGACCAATTGGGTTCAGCAGACGTTGGAAAATGCATTTTAGGCTTTGTCGGAGGCTTCGGGAGCTCGATTCGGGGTTCAGGAACACCAGCAAAGCTGAAATAGCTCTAAACACGTTTTCCACAAACCTTGAAAAATGCATGCGGGGCCCTAGAAACCAAACTACAGAATTTGCAGTACGATTTTCGGTTTAGGGACGGCAAAAAGCCAAATGCGTTTAGCAGGCCTTGGAAAATGCGTTCGGGCTTGGTCGGTGGCTTCGAGAGCTCAATTAAAGCCTCCGGAGGGGCCAGGGCCATCAGCAAAGCTGAAACAGCTCTAAATGCGTTTTCCAAGCTTTGCAAACATGCATTTGAGAGCCTGGAAACCAATTAAAGCATTTTCGATGCGATTTTCAGGTGCACGGACAGCATTGAGTTCCGTGCATTTAGCAGGCCTTGGAAATGCATTTGGGCTTGGTCCGGGGCTTCCAGGGCTCAATTAACCTCGGGGGTTGAGCCAAGGGCATCAGCAAAGTTGAAACAGCTCTAAATGCGCTTCCGGGGCCCTGGAAACCAAATTAAGGCAGTTTCGGTGTGATCTCGGGTGTAGGGACGGCATTGAGCTCCAGATTCGTTGAAACCAGTGCCAAATGCGCTTAGGCCTTGGAAAATGCATTTGGGCTTGGGTTCGGAGGCTTCGAGCTCGATTTGGGTTCGAGGACTGGGACTAGGAACACCAGCAAAGCTGAAGTAGCTCTAAACGTTTTCCAAGCCTTGAAAATGCATCTTGCTGGGGGTCCACGGGTTTGGATGAGTGGCACGCGGCTCTAGAGCTGCAAACCCGGGTTTGGGTGGGTCTGGAGCTTTCACGGGTTTCGATGCTTTGGATGGGTGGGTGGGATGGATGGAACATGATGGAACGTGGCTCTGGAGCTCGCGGGAATGGATGGGTCTGGAGCTGGGGCCCACGGGTTTGGATGGGTGGAATGCGGCTTTTGATGGGTGGAACAAGGCTCGGGAACTGGTGGCCCGCATTGATGGGTGGACCGCGGCTGAGGAGCGCCCTCCCACACATTAACCCATTGTATTGCCCCAAGGTTGAATCCGGTTCCCTCAAGGGGTTTCCGATGGGTTTCTTCTTCCTCGAAATACTGTCACAAGTTACTTGGGCTACATGGACCCAAGAAAGCCTTTAAAATTATGCTGGTTACATCTCTTTTGAAGCTTACAGGGCCTGGCAAGATGTTTGGTCACAAGCCTCAGAAGCCCTGTTGAAACCAGCCTCAAATTGGCTCCCAATACTGGGGGATCACATTCAACTCCTATTCGAAGCCATTCTGAGGGCGGCTTTAACAAGGCTTCAAACATGATTCCCCAATACTAGGACGGAATTTGAAGCCGAAGGGACTCGGGATATTAAAATTCTACATAGAAGAGCCGGAAACCCTTTAGAAGGAGCCCGATTCACCCTTTGTGGAATAACAATGGGTTGATGTGCGGGCAATGCATAGGAGGGAGAACTGAGATAGCGGCCTCCCAAATATTGAAACGAAAATGAGACGCAGAGATGCCTGCGATCTTCTGAACACAGCCGAAGCGATTATCCCTTGCAATTCTCCAACAGCGTGAACTCTGGGGTCGATTGGGGCAAGGCCTGGGGCAGGTTCCGGGACAGGTTCGGGCGCAGGTTCCGGGCGGGTCCGGGCAAGTTCGGGGTTCAGGCAGCCGGGGGAGGGGGGTGCTCGGCGGGTAACCAAAAAAAGGTTCCGGCCGGTCTGGGTTTGGAAGCGTTCCAGTTCGGAAGGATCAAGCGAATTCCGGAATCTGTTCCGGGCGGGGCAGGGTGTGTCTCGAACAGGTTCCGGCAGGTTCCAGATTGAGTTCAGGGTGGGTTTCGGGGCAGGTTTCGGAGGCGGGTTCCAGGTTCGGTGCAGTTCGGCCCTGCAGAGGTGGTTCCGGGCAAAGGTTCGGGGCGAGGTTGGAAGCGGGTTCCAGGTTCGTTCCGAGTGAATGGTTCTAGGGTTGGCCGGGTTTGCTCTCAGTGCATCCAAGCTCAGCCAAGCTCCACACGCTTTCGTGAGCCTTGCAAATCGCGCGCAAGTGACAACGAGTCTCACACCTTTAATGCGCGCGCAAGCTCCACAAGGCCTGATTTCGTTTCAACAGATCTGGACGTCAAGGCAGTCCCTAAACCCGAAAACCGCATTGAAAATGCTCTAGTTTGGTTTCCAATACCCAGAAATGCATTTTTCAAGGCTTGGAAAACGCATTTAGAGCTGTTTCAGGTTTGCTAGTGGCCCCGGTCTCCTAACCCAAATCGGGCTCCTGAAACCTCCGACCAATTCCACGCTGCTTAACGCATTTGGCCTTGGTTTCAACAAATCTGGAGCTCAATGCAGTCCGTCCCTACACCACGAAATTCGCACCGAAAAGACTTTGTTTTGGTTTTCAGGGCGCATTTTTGGAAAAATGCATCCAGCACTGTTTCAGCTTTGCTGGTGCCCCTGGCCCCATTCCGAGGCTTTAATTGAGCTCTCGAAGCCACCGACCAAGACCAAGAAGGCCCACTAAACGGATTTGGCCTTCGTTTTAGCAAATATGGAGGTCAATGCAGTCCCTAATGGGCCCCAGCTCCTGTGCCACTCATCAAATAAACACGCGGGCCCGCACTGCAGAGCCGCGTGCCACCCATCCCGTCAGGCACGTTCCCTTTTCTTTTGAGAAGAAGACCCTAACAGTTCCTGCTTCGGGAATTACGCAGTTGCCAGACTCCTATCGTGTCATGTAGCTCTTGCCACGCCAATCCTGTTAACCGAGAGGAATCCTAAGCCAACAGATCGAAGTGACAAAGTCAGACCAAGAGGCTGCGATCTTCTTGATGCCGCTTTCCTCACACCACGCACGCACGCGATCGAGACCTCTGTCGAAGTGCAAAGCTTGCACTACCGCTTACATGAGAACAAGAAGTCGCTGTTTGCAACGAAAAGACCTGCCATCGGCTTCAACAACTCCGCCGCGCTTTCTCGAAACATGACCTCGGCCCGCAGCGGCTGATCGAAGTGAAGACAACTGCAGAAGCTGCCGAGAGCTGCGGCGAGGAACCTCTTTCTTCTCCGCGAAAGCTTCGGCCCGCTGCTGATCCCAGTCTGGGAAGAGGTCTCCGCAAATCTGCTTGTTCTGCCGGCCGGAGATCCTTCGCTGCCACGATCTCTGCGCAGCTTCAGCTTACAAGACGATCCGATCTGAGGACCTGGCCGACTCTTGAAGAAGTCTTCATCTTATGGGGCGAGAGCCAGATTCACAGTGTTGCTTTTCATGCATGCTGCAGGTGCCCGGGTGCTTTCTATCCAGCATCTCTTTTTGTTGCTTCTCCTTCTCAGGGCCCTCAGTTACTGTTGGTTCACGCACCCTTTTCAACGGTAAGGTGGACACGACCACTGATCTCATCAGAAGCCGTGGCAAGGTCTCAGGACATTCACGGAATACCAAGTCTTCTCTCTCGTCTTCATGACGGTTTGGTCCAAGGATGCCAGCTTTTCTGGAAGAGCCGCGGATGCCGTCCCATCAAAGTGAGCTTTCCGCACTGGGTGTTTTTTTACATATACTTTACTGCTTTTTTGTGTCTACCCGTCGTGCGACTGCATTTTTGAAAGGTTCCACTGGTTCTCAGGCTCTGAAACGTTTTTGCCTTCTCTGACCCTTAGGTCCCCTGCTGGGGAAAAATGCGAGTCGCCCTTAGCTTCGCTCCTAAGGTCCTACCCCTTTCGGATGCAGCCTATTAGTGGCCTAGTCTTTTGTCATGCCCTGGCATATTTTTTGCAAGAGTTGTAAGCCATATGGTAAGCAAGAGTCAAATCCTCTTCAGAATTCTGATACCTTTGCCACCACTCAATGCAAAAGTAGATGGTCAGACCCGAGGAATGGACCGATGGCAATACCATCATTGAAGCCTACCTCTCTCAAGATGTCGACGAACCTCATTTCACGGCAATCAGCCTTTGCAGATCTGACCGTGCGATGTTTAAGCCACTCATCCCGGCGACATGCCAAGGCGTTCACGCCGAGAAGTGAACGGGATCCGTGTCTGCCAGGGTCCCATCAATATCAAACAGCAAGGCCTGCAAAGGTATGTTGCTGTTGCGGAATACCGAGAGCCTCCTGGCACACATGCCGCCTCATGCCTCCAAATTCTCGGGCACTGCCATCGCGACTGCGACACTTGCGAAGGCTCGTGGCCTTCGCCTCGGGCGGAGAAAAGCCAGTCCGGCAAGCGGGAAAAAGCCCAGAGCAACCCAGCCTTGTCACAGCCGCACCGAGAAAGCAGACAGCAGTGCTCCGAATGCCTCAAAGCACTTCTTGGCGTGGTTTTCGGAGCAGCTCCGCCCCGCTCTCGAGTGCTGTCAGCAATGTTGAAGCTCGGATGCTCGAAGCACTGAGTCGGATTGCAGGAGCTCTCTGCAAGCGTTTGCTCAGGCCAGGCTGCACACCGGGGACGGCTCTCAAGGGAATCACCTGCAGCTTCAGCGACTCCCAAGTGCTGATGCCCGGTTAAATGCCCTTGAAGCTATTCTGTCACGTTAGCTTCTGGTCTTCTAGGAGTTTCGGGAACATTAAACCGTTCATGTGACAGCAAGCACAACATCAGGGTACAGTATATCCTTCTACACAACACAACCCCACAGATGTCCTGCCTCTGCGACCCTGAGCATGGTCTGAAACGATGCAAAGATCTGAGCCGAACCGCGGAGAACAGAGCCGTGCCGTCGATTCATGGGCACGCAGGGACAAGTGTTTGACCCAAGATGTCCCAAGACTTGGCGGCATGTAGAAGCAGAATTGAAGCCACTTTTGAGTCACGCATCCTGCCACGGTGTACGTGAGAGGCTACAAGAGTGAGGAGACTGTTAGGAGCTGAGCCTTTCAGAATCGTGCCTGTGCAAAGGGTGCTTTTGAGCCTGTACACTGTACATTTATGGCAGGGCCTGTGTTCAAGGACGAGGACAACAAAGACCTATGCTGGAAGACTTGATATGTGTCAGCAGTATGTTGTCAGACTGTGTGTGACTGTGTTGCAGGACAGGCCCGGTAGCTCCCATCACAACTGGTTTTGAGAGGTCTTAACAGCCTGCTGGCATCTGGCCATGCTCTGGAATTTTGCTTTCGGAGGGTTTAGGGCAGGCTCACGTTTAAGCCTTCGCCATGGCCAGCCTGACTCTCAGAACATTGCTTGTCGGACACAGTAGGTCACTAGATCTCTCACTCTGATTGGATTGCAGAATGCCAGTCTTGGACTTGGCTCTGCGCAGCCAGATGGTCTCACATGAAGTCATCATCACTGTCCGCTTCCTCCAGGTCGGGCTCCTCCAGCATGTCAAACTCAAGCCTCGGGTGTCACGAGGATGCGCCGACTTTGGATCCTGATTCCTACGGCATTGTTGCAGCTTAGAGGCTGGTATCTCATGAGCCCACCGATGCCTCCAAAGCCCTTGACGAACTGGTTGCCTTCCTGCGACCTATCCGAAATAAACTCCAGCTTGGTGCCGAAGTTCTTGTAGTTCACAACTATCCAATCCAAAAACGCCTCGTTCTCTGTGACGTTCAGTTCTACGTTCGTCTCCTTGTCCACGTAGAGCTTTGGATCCTTCTCCTGCTCGGGAGTCACGTACTTGACTTCTTCCGTGTCGGTGTGCGGGTTCCGGATGACCAGCCTCTTGATATCCAGCTGCTCCCAGATGATCAGGATCTCCACGGCACCGGCCTCCAGGCCCTGCATCGTGTCCTTGATCCCGAAGCAGTACCGGCCGGAGTCCGTGGCAACCTCGTCCAAGAACTTCGTGACCAGCTTCTTCTCCTGGACAAACTTCACATTTCTTAGAGTCTCAGCCGACAGCTCAATCGCCTGGTTGAAACCAGCCTCTCCACCGTAGCTAATGTCAAGGAGCGGCGGGATGACAATTGCCGCTAGTCTCTGATCGAAGAGGTCCGTGTTCGTCGTCAGATCCTGCTTGAACTCCGCAGAACCTGCAACGATCAGCCCCTTAATGTTCGGGGTCTCTCCGTTCGGAATGAACATCTGCGTTGCTGTCTCTCCAACTTTTCGTACATAGTTGTGTCGCTTCTCCAGTCGGAGGCGCGCAAAACGCAAGGCAGACTGTCCTCCTCGGCCGTGCTTCTTTGGCAAGTCCACTGTGAATTTGTGCAAGATTTCACGATGGTTACCCTGCACAGTGCCGAACAGAGAGCCATTACCATCCATAATCAAGAACCCAAACTTGTCATCATCCTCCATGAGCTCAGCGAGGGGTTCGGTATGAAATTTGCTATCACAGAGGTACATGGAGGTGTTAATGGGTTTGAACGGCTCGAAGTCGATGGTGAGCTTCTTCTCCTTGTTGTCCTGCAAGGGGGTGGGTGACCTTCCTGGATGCATCGGAACATGTACATCTAGCGGGAGCCTTCTACGGAACCAAAACGGTGCTCGAGTTCTTAGGGTCTACAGGGCCGGCAGCTAGCCAGTAGCATCAGCCCCTTCGGCCTCCGTCAAGACCTCACCACAGAAAATGATGAGGCCGTTTGGCGGAGTGCGATTGTATTTCTTCAATCGCTGCTGTGTTGATGTGATAGCAGACAACACGGACAAGCGGTTTACCCGCGACTTGATGCACGATGCAGTGCCGTACTCCTCCGTCAACATCTTGTTCGTCAGATTGATGTCCTGTTTGGAATTGAGAATTAATGTAATGGCTGAGGTGCCATTTCCGCGTGCAGCATCGAGCATCTTGACAAGGCGCTTCACCTTCCATTGCTCGATCTGCCGATCTTCTGCTGTCTGCTCCGACATGATGGCGAAGGAGCCCAGTACGCGCTGCGGCGCTGCGCACTTCACGTCCGCTGGTTGAGCCAAAGCCGCCGGAAGCAGCAAGGGTGCATCTATGTACTCAACTACCTCACAGCCCAGCAAGACATGTGCGTCGTGATCGGAATCCTGATGAATCCTGGGTTCAGCATTAAACACCCATCACCCTCCAGCCCTCTAGTGCACAGACCTCGTGGCAATGAGCCAGGGAGACTTGGGCATGCAATTGCCCTCCAACCAGCGGCAGTACACCACTGAAGGTACCTCATCTGGAGCATCTGCACGAAGCGGCCATGCATCCGTTACATCCACATGGTGATCACGCGCGACATTCGTGCGCTTGGTCGCCCACACGTGTGGCAGGGGTGCCATAGGCAATGAGCCCAGCACCTCCTCTGTGAGACCACTCCTGCACAAAAGCAATGGACTTGACCACGAGGGCATCAGGCACAGTTTATCTCCGTGGAACACGCCAAGTGAGACGTTATTCATAGTGTCACCGTCCAAAAGGTCGTCCTCGAAAGTTGGAGCGGAGGGAGACCTGTTGCCACCGATCAGTGGCTTTCAAACATACCGCATGTCTCCCTCTGTCTGGGCCTTTGCCAGGTTGGCTGGACCTGCCACGCGCCCTCGGTACACTGTCACACGAGTAGGTGGTTCGACACGACATGCTTCTGTGCACCTGCTACCTACCTCTCTGGCGAGTCCCCAGCCACACTTCGTCGGGACCAGGTATTCACCTGTTTTACCTCAGGCACGTTCAAGGGGTGCATACCACTGCTTTGCCCTGCTTTGCAGGAGGGAAATTTCAGGTCGGAACCCAGTCCCTCAGATCAGACACCCACTCGAAGGTCGCAGCATCATCTGAGGGCCTCGAGTGCCGAAGGCTCCCGCCGGCTGGGCCCTGCGACTGGCTCTTTAAGACTGCGGCACACAACCCACCTCAGCCGTTTGCGTTTGCAAAAACATTCCTCGCCGAGGACTGGGACTCAAACAGCCCATGCGACACCATCATGCCCGCAGTCGTAGAACTGGTTGCCAATGATCTGGCCTGAAAGCCAATGCGAGCCTCGCTAGGACACTACGCAGCAAGGGGGCAGCAAGGCCCGGACCATGAACGAAGAGGGTGGATCCAAGGATGCAAGCAATTTCTGCGAGTCGGAGATAGTCGCCTCGGCTGCAGAAAGAGAGCAGCTTGCGGCATCAACCAACGCAGCAAACAGCTTCCAGAACAGAACCACTTGCACTGGGTTCCATAATTAATTTTGCAATTCTTGTTTATTTTGCGAGTTAGCATGGCTTTGCCAGAACGTCAGGCATTTCGAACGTTTCGAACATTAAAATGAAGACAACATCGATACCTTTTCAATGAACTCGGCCTCCGCATGCCTCCGCGTGAACGCGGCCGGCTTGTGACTGCGGAAATGACGTGATTTTGGTACGGAATGGTACGGAGAACGTGGCGCTTAATCACGTTTCTTAACCCCACACCCTCGTTAGGAGACGGCGAGTAAGCATTTCTTGATCCGCCCCCTCATTAGGCGAAGGCGCTTCATCACAGCTCTTGCATCGGCGAATGATGAAAACTCTTAATGACTCTTCAACCCGCCCCCTCACTAGGCGATCGTGATTGATCGCGTGTTTTAAAAAAGCTGCTTATATAACCAGGCTGTGATGGCTAAATGCCTTGCCCACTAATTAGACGATGGCGGTTGAGCCGCATTCACCCCGGCCCCCTCATAAGACGATATTCAGCGGCGGTGGTTGATCACATGGTTTGCCTGCAATTGAAAAGGATTCACCTGGATTTTCAGCACCTCCTGTCTACGGCATGATGTTATTGATTCATAGCAAGCTTTGCAAGGCAAAGCAAAACGCGGCGGCTTGAAGGGGTGAATGGGAGGGTGTCCACAAAATTCCCACCCTTGCAAACACAATGCTCGAATGACCCACTGGAAAATCTGGAAACGAGCCATCTGGGCATTGCAGGAACTCCGGTCGACGGATTCTTCATAGCAAGCTTTGCTCAAGCTTTAAAACCAGAAAGGGGGTGGGGGGGGCGCAAACAAGCAAATAGCTAAAGCCGTAGTCGTCGCAGAGCGCCGACACCGAAGAGTAAAAATTGAAGGGCAAAAAGCAAAGGCAAGAACCCGAAAGCGGTAAACAAGAAAGCGGCAGAAAGCAGGAGAATTCTGTGAGAAAACAGTAAGCAAAAGAAAGAAGTGAAGCACAAACGACTTAAAACGCAAAGCGGATCGCAACATAAACGATGAAGGAAGCCAAAAACAATAGGAAAGAACAAATTGATGACAAAGTCTTTCATAAAAAACAGACACCCTTGCACTACGATATCTCCTATGACAGCTCTGGCTTACTGGGCCCTGCACGCATGACTCCGTCCTCTGCGACACTATCCTCCATGTCAGAGGTGACATGCAGTGACAGTGTGATATACCGGACTTGACAACAAGCGCCACATTGATGGTGGCATTCTCGCCCGGAAAGGAATATCTCCCGCATCAAGGATTTGATTGCACAGGTACAAATCAAATCTTGCACCGCCTTCTCGCATGCCGAGTCCAGTGATCGCAATCACACTGTCAATAAACCAAAGTTGACGTTCCCCCCCGACACCTATCACAAAGCCGCCACTTTGGTCGCACGACTTGAATCACCTGCAGTGAATATTGTGGATGCACTGTCCCAAGGCCTGACGCCCACTTGCCCCCCGAACCAACCATCGGTGACTCTTATCAGGAACAAAGAAGACCACCTGCCGCAGTGCTGTCCTCGTAGCTCTTGACGACTTCTTCATCAGACACTTCGGCCAAGTTCCTCTCTGACATGTGCGCGAGCTCCTGGAAGAGCTCCGTCTGCTTCAAAAGCCAGGTACAGGCTTGCTAATTTGCAGAACACCAGCTCCTGACGCCGAAATTCAAACTCGCCGTCAGAGCCCATGTCGTACTTGAGATGATATCTGCAACAGAAAAGCTCTTGAGCCCTGTCTTCTCACATGCCCAAAACCAGGTGCACCTCATCAAGTTGGACTTGGTGCAGAAGTGCCGTATTTCTTCATGTGTCAGGTGGTCCATGTCCTTGCCTCAGACTCGCTGCTACTTGACTGCTTCAGGCCGAACTCTGGACTGCTGAGCCCACGGCCTTCTGCATGAGCAGCTAGGCTAGTGAAGTAACTCCATGGACTGTCCAAGGTGGCAAGACTCATGATGAATCATGAGATAGACCGCGGCCGCTTGTACCGCAAGCACTGCTTCAAGCACTGCTTCGTTCGGGCCTCACCCGCTTGTCTTCCGGAACCCAGTATGCACCAGGTGTATCAGATGAGATTTTTCGCACCTGATCAACTTGCAGCTGCTCAGCTGCACCAGCTGCCACAATCACATGCCATGAACCCAGAATTCCAGGACGTATGCCAGCATGAGACGGGCCTCTTCATCCGTAAATTCAGAGGTGTATCCTCAAAATGAGCCACATCTCTTGGCGCAGCAAGCCAAGCTTTCGAGCTGAGGCCCCGTCGCATCTTGTTTATGTCCCGATTTCCGAGAAGCAAGTGAACTCTGTCGGGATAGCGCCTGATTGGGGCCATGTTTCAACCGAGCTGCCAGGCCAGGCCCAAAGAAACTTTCCACCTCCCCAACGGGCACCCACGACCACCGATACGCGCATGACAAAATGGTCATCCAAGCCGCTTCTTGGCCGAAACCAGCGTCTCCAGACACCTCAAAGACCCGGGACCTGGCAAAAGCTTCGCAGATGAAGGAACTGAACCTGCTCAAAAATCAGAAAATGCCTTTGTCACAGGTGTCGCCACCGAAAACAAAGTGCCAGCCGTCCTGGAGCGGACAGCCAAGCTCATCGCAACACCCCTAAATGCCAAAGTCCACCTTCAGGATCAGTTCTGGAGGACGTCGAGCATCACGCTGATCCTGAGCGATTCTTCCCCAGTTTGCGCCTTTATGCTCTCCGATGCCAACAACGGCCGAGACTTCTGCGCCATCTTCTGCAAATGTGAGGCCCTCTGACAGCTCCACCTGCCATGCTCAGTGTCGCATATGCAGCTGCTACCTGTCAGCCAGGCAGCAAGACGAAAGGACGCCAGCAGCACGAAGTTACAGAAATAAGACCAGTGGCCCTCCACATCCGTCATGTAGGTGATCTGCAGGCGACACAGGTCACAGCGTTTACAGTTGTGGAAGCTCCCTTCCGCACATTCGTTGCATCCCTTTTGTCCATTCAGGTCGGTGTTAACATTTTACAAACACCCATCAGGAAGACGACGACAACAGCAACAGCAACAACAACAACAAAACCAAAAACAAGGAAAGGGCAGCATAGTCGTCATCCGTTCTAGTGACCCTACTAGAAGATCATTTTGCTCTGTTGCGGCCCAGGGCGAGTTTCATCAGGACAACCAGAACCACCGGCACCTGGCCTTAATCTCCCTATGTCCCTATGGCTTATCCTGATAAATGTACCTCATACTGCAACTGCAGGACAGAGCACGTGCCTTGCAGGCATCCGGAACGACCCAACAGCAACTGCTGTAAGGGTCTCGAGAAGTGCCAGCCTGGACTCGACATGACGTTCACATACTGTTTATACTGTTTAGCCTGTTCGTCTCGGCTTGTGCAAGAGTGCGGGAATATGCACATACTACAATGTCATGATATGGCTGTTGATCTAAATTCCTTCATCCCGGGTTGATCTTCTTCGCGTAACAATCAATACTTTCGCAACACCATCACGGAACTTTCGCGGAGAGGCAGATTTACATACCTTTGCAGGTTGTCAGCCCTAAATGAAGAACTCTTCGGGGGCTACTTTAATGGTCCTTCTCAGCAGTTTCTTGAAACTTCTTACAGACTCCGCAAATGCTATTCAAGCGTTTCTTCCGGTCTCGTAAGGCATGTTTATAAGCTTCTCTAATTCAGCAGTGGCTTCTCGAAGGCGTCATGAGGGCTTTTGCAAAGCTTCCTGAGACTATCTCGATGGCAAGGGGGTCTCAAGGGTCTCTTCCAGATGAACTAAGAGCTTCTGCATGG